GTACAGCACAGCCCACATTGAAAAAAAAAAAAAAAAANAAAAAAAAAAAACCCGGAAAGAAGGCTCCCAGCGAGAGTACAACAGCTCCTGCTCGGTTCTTTCATCCGTGACATTTCATTCCCTTTCATTCCCTGCCCTGCTCTCTCCATATTACTTTTGCGCCGTACGCCAGCCATGCACGCATGCTACTTTGATTTTCTCTGCTGCTGCTGCTGCTGCAAGACGTGGTCCAAGTGTGTTGGTGGTGCCCGAGCCCGCTGATTGCCTCGGGCCGCTTTCGTTCATATCCTCTTCTCCCCACTTCTCCCTTCAAGGGTCTCCCAGGCGGGTTGTTTTCCTAGGTAATCTCATCCCAACCCGTGTCGACGAAATGTGTCGGTCGTGTAAGCAAATCACCACAAGCCGCATCCCAGCTCACAACAGATCCTCCACCCAGCCCATCTTCTCCCTCCGATCGTCGCACAGCCTTGCGTACTCCAGTAGAAGTCTCAGCACATAGATCTGCATGTCCTCCCGCCGGAGCACCTTGTTCGCCCAACTCTGGCCCTCCTCCGCGATTTTCTGTGCTTGCTCATCGTGTCCCTCAATCTTGATATTCTCCCCCTCGTACCCCAAGAAGTACTCCATGATGCCCCAAAAGTCCATGAACCGGTTGTCCATCGGCACGAAGTGCTTCCACGGCACCAGCCGCGAGTCGTGCCATTCTCTAAAGATCGTCGCCTTGATCGGCAGGGACGTGGACAACAGGAAGCCCCGGTACCGCCCAGAGAAGGAGTTGCCGTCGATGTCGGGGACATACTTCCGGCCAAACTGCTCAGCCATCTTCATACCAGGCAGCATTTTGAAATGATGTTTCATGTATTCGCAGCTCGCCTCTTCGGGCGGGCACATCAGGTCCATGAAGCCCGTGTCGGCCCACTCGCTGGTCCACTCGCCTAGCCTATTCTCCTGCTGCGCGGCCAGATTAAAGTTTGTGGTCGGGAGGGCCCAGTTGTCAGGGTGCAGAGTCCAGGCCTCGGCGCCCGAGACTTGGGTTGCGTTGGTCATGGCGACGAATCTGTGACGTTGGAAGCCTTTCCAGTTGAGCTCGTTGTGGCGGCCTCCGGTTGCTACCCCTCGCCAGATGACCTTGTTTTGCTTCTCGAGCCAGGGCAGACCGTGGTCGTCACCGCCGGAGAAGCGCTCTTCGCCATTCCAGTACATGGGCGCAGGGAGCAGGATTTCGTTGTTCGTGGGCAGTTTGGATCCGCCGAACATAGGAAAGAACGTCTTGGTGGAGGACACCGAGAGCGGGTTGATCATCATGCCGTGGAGAGCCTGCAGGTCTGGCTGGTGGCAGAAATCGGATGACAAGGTGAAATTCGAAACATAGCCTTTGTAGGTATGTGGAACCGTGTTGGCAAGGGAGATCTGGGCCGTATGGGAGAAGTCTGTCATGTCTTCTGTTGTACGCGCCAGACTCTCGGGATGGCAGCCTCTGGATGCAACCTTCCAGAAAGGACCTGAGAAGTCAGTAAAGCGATTTGTGTTCCTGGTGCACCAAGACCTACGAGTATTTTCCCAGTTCTTATCCCGCACTTTAACTTCGGGCTCCGGCTTCGCGGACAACGACGAGAATTCCGTGACGACCTCCGCGGGAGGAGGCATACTGCGCGTTTGCTGCTCTATCTCCATCAGCTTGCTTATCTCCTCCCACGGCGCCACGATTCTCGGCTCGTCCATCGCATTGAGGGCCAAATCCATATCCGGCAGCAAGTGCTCAATCGTCTGTGTCAGGTTCTGCCAGATGCGCGTCCAGAACCAATCACTGCCTGCTACTGCAGTGTGATTCCGGATATTGATGGTCATCTCGTAGTCCCACGCCTCTTTCCGCATGGTACTTGGCGGAAGGCCCCAGAAGGGCGCCAAGTCGTGGTAGATCTGATCGAAGAAATCCTCCACCATGACCGCTCCATGCTCTGTCGCAAACTTGTACCAGAGGTCGAAGCCAGGGGGAGGGTGGCGCCCGCGCCGTTTTCTGTAATCTGCGGCCGCGCTCTTGATATCGTGGCTCTCCTTCTTCAACAGGTCCTCGTAGACTTTATCGGCAGCTTTGATCAGGGTATCGATCGGGTGCGCTTCAGCAGCAGGTTTCTGGGGCTTCGCTGAATCTGCGGGGGTGCCTGGCAGATGGCCTGGTGTCGCATCCATGGGCTCATTCATGGAGAGGGTCGGGTGCGGGTTGCGCATGTAGAAGAGGGCGCAGACAATGAGGATCGACATCAGCAGGATCCTGGCCCATCCGGAGCTCCGCCGTGGCGGTGCGAAGGCCATACTGACGGGCGAGTTTATCTTCATGGGAGTGGATAGTCGTAGACGAGGGGGACGAGGGTGAAGGTGAAGAGGAGAGGGTGGGAGGTATGAGGAACAGGAGCAGGCGGACGTGACGGCAGCAGCGACGCTGGCGGGCAGTATTGGAAGCAGGACGGTGATAGTAGGTTGATAGTAGGTTGATAGTAGGTTTGTCGTGGTGACCGTGTCGTTGTGACTGTGCTGTTCGAAGTGTGTTGTTGTGATGGGGGATTGTAGGTGGCTGGACCGCTGTGGTAATAGGGATGGTTGGTGGTGGTTTCCTCGTAATTAGTCGAGCGTGGAATCAAACAGCGCAGATTGAGAGAGTGTGAGCGGCAGAAGTAACAGCGTGTCCGTGTAGCAGGGCCAAAGTAGCGAGTTGACAGGGGAGTGAAAGTCAAAGACTCGGAAAAGAGAGACAGACCGACAGATGGGTGAGGAAGCCAGAAGTCGGAGAGAAAGAGACAGAGAGAAAGAGAGAGAGAGCGGACGTGAGTGAGGACGGTTACAGAGTTCTGTAGATGTAACAAATAAGAAGTGCGTAACCGGTACCGTACGGTACTACCTACGATTTGGGCACTGCAAGTCCGCAAGTCTGCAAGTCTGCAACTCTGCAACTCTGGGCTCCCCTGCCCTGCCCTGGTTCGCCCAGGCTTCGCGAAGGCGAGCATGTCCAGCATGTCCAGCGTGTCCAGTACCGGTAGGTGGTAGTATCTCCAACATGTCCAAGGTGTCCAAGATGTCCTCCAGCTCAAACTTGAAATACGTAGTAAGATGAAGGCCGAGTAAGGCCAAGCCGGTACATTCCGACCGCATGGTGTGTTGCATTATGCTCAGCCCTACGGTAATTACTCTCATTCCTCTGATTGTTGTTGTAGCCTCGGCCTCGGCATCAAGCATCAGCTTCAGCATCAGCATCAGCATCGACCAGCGCTGCAGAAGAGACCGGTATCGTCGATGTGTTCCCTTTTTTCCCTTTGCCCTCTCTCTTCCTTCGAGCGACATCACCCTGTCCCCGTCCCCGTCCCCGTCCCCGTCCCCGTCCCCGTCCCTGTCCCCGTCCCCGTCCATGTCCCCTCCCGTCCGTCCAATACTCTTAAATATACTGTACTACTTGCATCTCATCAGCACAAGATTCCTTATTACCCGTAACACGAACACAAAGTAAATTGCTGCTCCCCGCCAGCCAAGACGCCGCGCTGGGCCCAGCAGGTCTAGCCAGGTCCAGACTCCGGCCGGGCCAGGATCCAGATGCATCTCCCGATTCCAAATTCCCATCCCCCCCGAGGCTTCTTCCTGGACGAGACGGATGCCTGATCTGATAATAGGTATCAATTCTATCAGATACGGTAGAGGAGGCGGCCATCTCCGCCCCGCCCTATTCCCGGAGGTGCGATATGATGGATGTGAGATCCGGCGTCGATGCACGGTGAACGTGAGAGTAGAGTTTGACCTGAGAGTTGAGTTTGAGACGGGAATTCGGAGCGGCGAAACATGAGACGGAGAAGAAAGACTAAACGAGAAACGTTTCCGTAAACGACACGTGACGAAACCAGTTTATTATATCACGTGATCTACCCGTCCTAGCTCACCTCACAAGGTGGCAGACGGACGGACGGGCTCAGCGACGAGACATTCCCAATTCCCTTTTCCATTTACAAATCCTCCGCGTTGAATTTTCCATCTTCGATTATTTCTTTGCCTGCTTGAGTCTGCAATTCCAAATGTCTAGTTGGACTTCATACATTAATTACAGTACGGGTTTCTCAGCTCGAATGCTCCGGCACGAACACCACTTTCTGCACTTGCATCTTATTAAAGATGTCGTATCCTTCGGCCGCCTGGCTTAACGGCATGAACTTGTCTGTCATGAAACTATTTTTGGTCAACGGACGTTCCTCCGGCATTTTTCCATGGGGGACTTACTCTAGCTTATCCTGGTGCTTCTGCAACATCGCCAGCGCTTCCGGGAAGAGGCCTACATCATCATTATCAGCATGGTAGGTGTGAGATGCTTCCCTCCCCATCCTCAAATCCTCAAGAAAGGGGAACGAAGGGGGACGGGTGTGTGGTGCTTACTCCGAACGGGACACCTCCCCATCTGCACCCTCAGATTCTTCCCGTACGCCTCATCGCCCGTCCAGGGAATCGGTTCATGATGCACCCCAAAACTACTGATCACGCCCCACGGCCTCAGCAGCTGGAAGCCCATCTTCAGCGCATCAGCGTGTCCCACGCCCTCAATCACCATATCCGCCCCCCTCCCATCCGTCAGCTCCTTCACGCGCCTCTCCAACCCTTCCCGATCCTGCTGATCATTCCACGGTTCCGCGCCCAGCTTCTTCGCAAGCGCGAGCCGCGACTCGACGCGGTCGACCGCGAGCACGATCTTGGGTTTGTACTCCAGCGCATTGATGAGGGCGCACAAGCCCACCGGACCACAGCCGATCAGCACGACGACGCTCTGACTTATAGTTTCGGCGTCCAAGCCCTTGAAGGCGTTCTGCGCGCCGAAGTAGCCCGTGGGGAAGATGTCTGCCATCAGCACCAGCTTCTTCTCGTCGATGCCCGGCGGAGCCGTGACGGCCGTGGCATCGGCGAGCGGAACCCGCATGTATTCCGCCTGGCCGCCGTCAAGCACGGGGCAGCCGAACAGGAGGCTTTTGGCGCACCGGGAAGAGAAGCCGCGCTGGCAGTAGAAACAATCGCCGCAGGAGACGGTGAAGGGCATGACGACCGTGTCGCCGACCTTGTGGTTCTTGACGGCCGACCCGATTTCAATGATTTGGCCGGTCGCTTCGTGGCCCTATCCATGAGTATCAGCCCAGACGTCTCCTTCCCTTCTTCCTGTCCACCATTCTGGCTGTCTCGCGGGGGGGGGGGGGGTTCTAACGGTAAGTACTTACCATGATGAAATCCGTCTCACTGGGTTGATGGCCGCGGAAAACATGAAGTTCACTGGCATCATCAGTATGGCACCTCGGCACCGACGAGTACAGAAACCGAATTTACCTTCCGCATAGTGCAGTGTACTTCACTTTGATGATAACGTCCGTCGGATCCTGAATCTTAGGGACCGGCCGGTCCTGCACAGAGATCTTCAAGGGGCCATCGAAGACGACTGCTTTCATGGTCTTCGACATGGTCGCTGCGAGGCTCTGAAGGTAGAGCAAATGTTACTTCTCTCTGGGGAGGAGAAACTGTTGAGGTTGCCGCACAGATAAGCCCCCCGAAAAAAGAGAAGAGAAAAATTTACACAAGCATGACTGTCCGGAGTGTATATGTGTATAAAATTTCGAGTTTCGATAGGTGTGTAGGATTGATTTTTCGAAGTCCGGTCAACGGAAAGGCTACGAAAGTCTACGCCGCAAGTACTGATGGTAGTATGGTACCGTAGTAGCCTGTCATTCCACCCGTCTGTACGAAAAAAGTCTAAACGATCAGTACGTACCGGTATCGCAGGATTCGATTCGCTTCGCAGCCGAGGTGAGGGGTAGTTACCTTAGTTACTGTAGAATGCGGGGTTACCTGTTTGTACATCCGTACTCACCCACTTGGCGCCGCCGCCGCGCGCCGATGGTCGGGGACGATTCTGTAAGTCCGTAGGGGAGGGAGGTAGTGGAGCCCGCAAACGAAACCGTCAGGCGGGATAAGTAAGATGGGTACGATGAGCAAGCGACTAATTTTTTTTTTTTTTTTTTTTTGATTTGACTTCGAGGGAGGGGTGGATTGTTTCTCGGTAGGTTTGCTCTTGCGCTGGCTGATTGATTACTGCGGGACTTTTTTGGTTGGGGGGTTGCGGGGGAGGGTTGGTTGCGGGGTTCAGAGGAGGAGGATATAGAACGGTGAGGTGCGGTGCGATGCGATGCGATGCGACGTTGGTACCTCAGATAAGATAAGGAAGGTACCGTAGCTTGTATCGCTGTTGATTTGAATGGATCAATAATACATTATTGATGTTTTTATAAAGAAAAAAAAATTTGGGGGGGAGGAGGGGGAGGGAATGTTAGAGAGGGGTACCGGTTACTTGGTGCTTGCTTGCTTGCTTGTATTACACTCGCAGAGGCTGGCTATCATTTCAAAATAAACTGCTTGCGTAGAAAAGAAAAGACAGCTGCTGCCCCGTCCCCCCCCCCCCATACCGCGCTTTTCCGGTTCTCATCGGTATTGAAATCGGCTTTTCTCGGCGAAACTTTTTGCTTCGAGAAGCTCTACTATCGGGGGGGGGGGGGAGGGGGGAGGGCGTTGAGGGGGGCTTTTTTTTTTTTTTCTTCTTAATAACGCGACGAGCAGCGGTAGTAAAAGATCGATCGGTGTTCTAATTCTCCGTAACGGATTTTGTCTGACCTGGTGAGTGATTTTTTTTTATTTATGGTAGCTATCAAGCCTTTCGTGAGAGATAAGTAATTGGGAATTTCGGGGGCGGAAATTGAATCTTCTTTGGGGGAATCTGGGTAGCCAGTTGGTTATGAAGATGGCTTTGAGCTAGCTAGCTAGTCAAAAGGGTTTAAGAAAATGAGGGGGGGAGATGTACGAAAAAGGTGTTTATTCTTAATAGAGCTGCTAAAGCCGCGTTAAGGCTATCTTTGATAATATAATAAGCGAGTTTTCTTAAAGCAGCGGGGTAAGTGGTCCGGACAAAAAGTTCACCAACAGTCTCCTGTACAGCGGCGCCAAAGCACTCTTGCATCGAGGATTAATAGCATCAAGCCCACTTTTACCTCTCCGAAATTCCTCTCCGTCGACGATTTGGAAATGTTGAAGAACTCGTGCTGTGTGCATAGCGTGAGTATGAGGAGAAGCTTCGTCTGGATCTCAGAGGACCCGGCGAAGAGTACTCGGTCTCGGTCCAGCGAAAGAAGAATTGCGGCGGTACGTTGACAAATCGATGGAAAAGAAAAAACAGAACTATCGTTACGTCGATCGAACCCCGCGAAGCGGTCCTAGGTAGATAGTTGTAGATCCGGACGGAGCCAGAAGACATCGACATCTTGCCTGCCATGGATAGGTATGCTTCGTACAGTCCAAGCTCTCTAAACACCGGGTCGATCTCGTCCCGGAGGAAACCTCCTCCGACCAACCCCGCCTTGCAGTAAGTCCTACCTTACCTACCTATCCCAACGGCAACGACAGCTTGACCGTGCTTCTTCTCTCCCCGGATATTCATTTCGACCGGTTTTTTGGGGGGGGGGAGGGTTGTGAAACGGGTACGCGTTGATCGAAACCTGCACTGCCATCTTGTAAAATATCAGACGGGATTTGTGACGCGCGCGCGGCAGCCAGTGAGTGACTCGGGACTCGGGAGTCGGGACGTTTTGGGACAGACAGCCCATACCCTCTTTACCTCTCTCCCTCGTGGAGGGTAGATAGATATCTGTGAGGGAAGACTTCTCTGGCGGTAAAGTACGGGTTTCTTACCCCTTTTAACCCCGTCGAGCTCCCTTCTCTATTACCGAGAGTGGATCGAAAAGGTAACTAGATGCTGAGCAAAAACAAAAAAGGGAAAAAAAAAGGCTTCTCTCGTTTGATCTCTCATAAGCAATAGATGGTTTGGTTTCACAATGCCCGTGGCCATGCCCATGCCCATGCCTTGCCATGCCTCGCCATGCCATGCCATGCTATGCCATGCTATGCCACGCATAAGCATCATCTCAAGACCGGCAACGCGGATCACTATCGTGCCCTCTTTGCCTGCTGTCTACCCATCTATCCGTCTGTCTGTCTGTCTACCATGCCAGGGCAGGAATCAAGTCCCAGTGATTTCCGCAACGCCATTCGTGTCACGCTCACTATGGGGGGCTGAGTGGGCTGAAGGGCTGAAGGGGGGGGGGGTCTAGACCTCGAATGAATGAATGAATGAATGAGGAATCAATGGATACATGAATAAGATACCCAAGACCATCCATTATCATTTTCCCAAAACCCCACTCTCCATCTATCATCCCCCCATCAGCAGCGGCGCTTCAGTCTACATACAGAATCCACCCATCCATTCATCCATCCATCCTTCCATCCATCCACATTGCGTTACATTATATATCCTACCACCGATCGATCGATCTATCTCCGCCAAATACCTCCTACCGCAACCAGTCAACCGAAGCCCAGCCCAGCCAAAACAAAGCCATGAACAACCCGCTCCTAGCCTGGAAGGTCTGGACCGAGAAAGTCGTCGGCAAGATCAAGACCAGCAGTACCTCACAACAACAGCAACCGAGAGTCGCGGGGCGGAAGCTGCGACGCCCTTACTTCGAGAGGTTCAACCGGGTGAAGATTGAGGATCAGTCGGAAGGGATGTGAGTGAGAGATATTCATTGTTTTTTTTTTCTTTGTTTGGCAACACACGCGCTGGGCAACTATGACAACCGTGGGGGCTTGGGTGGTTCTCTGTGATTGATTGGCTGACCGGGTGTGTGTGGTGTTTTTAGTGGGCGATCTTTGATGAGGGGGTAAGGGCGTACCGGTAGATGTTATGGGGGTAAGGAGGGGAGCGGGCGGGTATTTTGAGCTGGTTATGTTATCACAAGATGAGGGTGAGGAGGAGGATAGGGATGGGGATGGGGACCGATTGATTTGATTGATTTGATTGATAGCGATATTCCTACGTACCGTACATACCAACGACTTCTGCAAGCATATACACATGTTTTTTTTTTTTCTTTCTTTCTCACACACATACACACCCATCTATCAAGATGGACCCCGACACCTACCGCGCCCGCTTTACCGATGAGCTCCATCGATACCCATCCGGAGAGCTTGGGATCGGTGAATGCTACACAATACACAGTACGACTAGCAGACAACCAGCGCCTTCTTACGGAGTACAAACTCCTCATAACGTGACAGGCAGGCAGCACTTCGTCATCTTCCATCTTTAGTTTTCTCTCTCTCTCGGTTCTTTTTTTTTTCTTTTTTCCTCAAGCGTTTCTAAGCTGTGCTATGCCGCGTACTGTGATCAGTCAAATCAAGCTTTACTCCGTGAGAGAGCAATCAATTGATTGATTGGCACCCAGAAAGAAGCTGAAGAAGGTGTTTTTTTTTTTTTTTTTTTTTTTCTTTCAAAAGGGAGGGGGGAAGGGTTGGTTTGATTGACTTATCCATGTTGGTGTATCTACTTCGTATGGATGTACTGACTCCGTAAGCAGTCGATCGATCTCCCCGCGCGGCAGACTAGATAGAACCACCACCCCAACTACGAAAACTAGCTTCACTCACAAGAAATTCGATTTTGTGAATTCTGCTTCATACGTATTTATCGCTTAGTCAATCCAGATTCAAAAGCTGTTGTTAGTGACGGAAGGTTATACTTAATTAAAAAAGGTGGGGGGGGGGCACTTTCTTCTTTGGATATGGTCCTAGATGAAAATCTCGCTTAATAAACGTATACTCCGCAGTTAGTTGATTAGTTTTCTTAGCCCGCTTCACTTGATTTTTTCAGATACGACATGATATGATTGATTCATTGTCGCGACTCGTCTCGACGTCGCGTTGAAGAAGCAAGCTGTTATGAGAGTATAGAGACGGCATCCAGACGATCTACTCTTCACTCAACAGGTCTTTCATACATACAAGAAGAGACCACCTGCACAATTCTATTATGAAGTTGGCCTAAAGTGTGAAGGATGTCAAATTCTATACAAACGGAAAGAGTTCAGCATCTATACCTAGACCCTTGTGACAGCCTGAGGCCATCAGGCTGAGATAGAGCGCATGTCCCACCTTTGGGGCTACATAGACTTCTCTCAGAGAGAGGAGCTTCGAAGAATGTAACCTCACCTCACATACTTTTCCCCCTCTGAAGTATGACTGAATACATACAGTAAGGATTCAGGAACAGAACAGGGCTCAAATCCCCTACTCCACCACATCACCCATATCACTCACATCACTCACATCACTCACTCCCCTTCTTCATCCTCCTCGGCTAGAAAACCCAGACCACTATCATACCTCCTCTTCTTCCTCTTCCCCCCATCCACCCCCTCCCCTCTACTACCGCGTCTCGCCAACCCAGCATCAAACAGGCCCCCGTTCGCTCCAACTACAGCAGCAACGGCAGGGCTTTCACTCTGCGCTCTGTCACCCCGAACCAAGCCCGTCTCCCCAGCAGCACCTTCGCCATCGAAATCACCACCAACACCAAGATCAGCATCGAGAAAACCCGCGCCCATCTCCTGCGCACGACCAAGTTGCTTCAGCATGTCCGTGACGACGAACCGTCCCCGTGACACCGTGCCCGCCAGCTCCCGGTTCTCGCTGCGCAGCGACAGGATGGTCGCGTGGGCCGTCTGGAGCGACCCGTTGACGCGCTCCAGCTCACCGCGGAGTGTCGAGACTTGCTCGATCGCGGCATCCTTCTCCGCAACCGTCGCCGCCTTGCTTGCAGCCAGCGCCGCAAGTTCCGCCCTCAGTCCCGCCGCCGCGTGCAGCGCGCCCGTGAACCTTTGCTCGAATTCCGCCAGCAGCAGCATCTCGGTATCGGTGCCTGCGTTGCAGGCATGAGTAGCTTCCTCGTGCTGCTGCTGCTGCTGCTGCTGCGGTTGCGTCTCGTCATTCTCCATCATCCTCCGCTGCAGCGCGCGGATCTCGCCGCGCAGCCCGTCTTCGTTCGCGATCCGCTCGATCAGGCGCTCCAGACCAGCGACCTCGTCGCGGTACCCGTCCAGCGCAGCACGCAGCCGTTCGCCGTCGACGGCCTGCTCGTCGAGTTCGGCGCGGAGGTCGCCAACGACGCGGGTGGCGAGGCTGAGCTCGGCCTTGACCGTGTCCAGCACGCTCACGCGGTCATTCAACTGCTGCCGCAGCAGGACCTCCTGTGCGTGGTACTGATCGATGCTCGCGTCCCTGGCCTTCACCTTCTCCATCAGCACCCGGACGCGGCTCACCAGCAGGCCCAGCAGCTGGTCGTTCGCGAAGCCCGTCGGCGTCTCTCCTGGGCTGAGGTACTCGAGCTCGAGCCGCGCTTGGCGGAACCGGGACGCAATGCTCTCGAGGGCGACGTCGGGGCTGCATCCCGGGCGGGAGAAGCCGAGGGCGGAGATCTCGGTTGCCAGGGCGGAGAAGGCGGTCTCGTGTTCCAGGGAGCGGGACTCGGACAGGGCGAGGGAGGTCAAGACGGTGTCGAGTGCTGAGTCGAGAGCTGTGTGGTCGGGGCTCTCGTCGCTGGTCAGAAAGGGGGAGAGTTTCTGCGCGAGGCGATCGTGGTGGTCCTCCTGCAACGCAATCGCTCGGTTCAGCTTCTGGGTCTCCTCCTGCAGGTTCAGCAACTGGCCTTCCAAGCTTGCATTCTCGGGGTCCGGGATGGGCGGCAGGGAGTGTTGAGTGCCGGCGGCCAAATTGCACGGTGTGTTCGGCATCGTGGAGGGCGGCGATAGGAACGAAGTATTGAGCCGCGTCGGCGTCGTCATGATCTCATCCTGGCCAGACATATCCTGAAACCCATCGTCCTGGTCGTAATTCGTAATCATCATCTCGTCGCCATCATCACCGTCATCAACATCAACATCAACATCATCAACGTCGTCAAAATCATCCACAGCATACGGATCCCGTGCCGCCACCGTCCAATCCACTTCCGTCTCCTCAGCTTCTCCCTCCTCCGCAACTACCACCACCGTATCCCCATCCTGCTCCCTCCGCCGCAGCTCCTCCTTCAGAAAACGAATCTCCCGCTCAAGCACAAGGACTTTAGCTGCCGCGGTATCAGGACCCGCGAGGCCCCGAACGCCAGATCCGCTCCCGAGTTGCGACGCCATCATATCGGCGTTGTCGTGGCGGAGAGACCGGACTTCCACATCCTTCAGCGCCAGCTCCTCCGTCAACCTCTCTACTTCTTCGCGCCGCTTCTTCGCCTCGCGGCGACGATCCCACTCGATGATATTGACCTCCTCGCTCAGCCCATTCCGCCGCAGCCGTCGCTGGACACGACCCGCGAGCACCTGACGCAGAGGCGCGAACTGCAGCGTGCCAGATGCAGCAGGCGTGCCACCATCGCCCTGCCACAGCCGCCGGCCTGGCGTGGATGATAATGAGGATGAGGTTGATGGGCGTCTTCTCGACTGGGATCCTCGCGGTTGTTTGGGTTTGCGCGAGGAGATCGAGAGGGTGGTGCGCCTGATGAACGGTGTCAGACCCGACGGGGAGTAGTCGGATGATGATGATGCGATGACTGCTGGTCCAGGATCCAAGTCGGAGTCTGAGAAGCGGACCTTTTTCTTGCTGCGTTTGGGTGTCTGTGGTGGTGTGGCGATGCCGTAGACCCTTGGTAACCGTCGTGGGCTTGAAGAAGAGGCATTCAGTCCTGCGCTGCTGCGGCGTTGGCGCCGGACTGAGAGAGGGCGGTCGTCGTCGTCGTTATTATTGTTGTTATTGTTATTGTCGACGACTATCGTCGGGTGGTCGAGGTCAGCCATGGTAAGGGTCGGTGGGTAATCCGCGTCAAATGTCAACAATGAATCAATTGATCCGTGACTCTCCAACACTTGTTGGTAAAAGAGAAGCAAGAAGTTGAGCGAGCAAGCAAGAAGTTCCAGTGTTTACACTGGATCAATAGTCAAAGAGAATGACGAGACGCGCCGTCGGTATTCGCAGCAGGCCATCACAGAGACCAGAGTAAATAAATAAATAAACAAACAAACAAATGCTTGCATGCATGCATGCATGCATGAACTGCATTAGGTAGATCAGCCATCTGTTGTTTCCTTCCCTAGCCCAATCCGGCTAGCATAGTCGGACCAGACGAGACGCGCCTTATTTCCCCAGGGAGACGCGCTCAGTGACTCACTCACTCACTCACTCACTTGCTCGGAGCCGCCCCCCCCCGCGGGGCGTGATGATGTTAGATAGATACCTACTTACCTACTTACCTACCTACCTATCAACCGCCTCTCGAATCCATCCATCCATCCATCCATCCATCCACCCATCCGTCTGTCTGTCTATCCTGATACGTAGGTACGTAGGTACGACACCTAGATACGATACCTAGAAACGATAACGGTACCTATATACCTAGGTAGATAGATACCTACGCCACATGAACGGCGCGCGCGTTGCCAGGGCAGGAAAAAGCGGGGGGCCTCTGCCAAGCCGCGTCGTGTTCTGAAGCTAGTAGTACAGTAAGTAGTGAGTGAGTGAAGCTAGGTACCGGTAGGTAGTAGTCGCGAACCCTTTCTTGGTTTTGGTTTTGCTTTTGCTTTTGCTTTGGCTTTGCTTTTTTCAGCCTGGATGTATATGCTGTAGTGGTATGTGCTGTTGTGTAGAAGGTAGAAGGTAGAAGGTAGAAGGTAGAAGGTAGAAGGTAGAAGGTATGGTGTTGTGTTGTAAGGTGGGTTGGTTTGCTTGTTTGTTTTTTGCAGACGGGTGGGCGGTATTTGCGGGATGGGGGCGGTGGGTTGGTTTGGTGGGTGGGTTTGAGGGGGGGGTGGATGATGGGTGGTGTTTAGGGGTTACGGTACTTAGGTGCTTGGTTGATTGATTGATACTTTTGTAGTGCTTGATATACGGTAGGTACGGTAGTACCGGTAACTGACTGCCCCGCGACAAGAGAGAGAGAGAGAGAGAGATAAGAGCGGCACGCTTTCCTACTGCTGTACCGGTACCTACTGTACCTACCTAGGTACTGTATCAATATATATTCCAATCCAACTCCAGTTGTTATTCTTCGATTTACATGAATCTATATATA